TGCTCTAATAAATTTGTTAGTCTCTAAGGTGCCACAAGTACTCCTGTTCTTTTTGAGGATACATACTAACACGGCTGCTACCCTGAAAACTGCTAGCAATGGCACTGCCAGTGCAGAGTCCGGTAGCAGCGGAGCCTTGCTCCTATGCACCTTTCTATCATCGACATCCTAAGTCTTTGGAAGCTGGGCATGAAGACTTGACCGACCTGGAAGGGGTGAGGGAGGGATCTGTCCTCTTTGGAGTGGACTGAGAGGGGGATCTGCTCTAGTGCTTATGAGACTGTGCCCTACTCTCCTGCAGAAATCCTGACAGAGGGTCCACAGGTGTAATCTCCCACATTCCTGCATCAGGCTTCATGGTAGGAAATGTGCTCTTTGATGACTCTGGATAATGTACAGCAGGGTTCATCCAGCCTGGGTCTGATTGAGGCCTCATAGCTTTCTCCATGAGGTGCTTTTTAAGACAAAATGCTTGCACCTATCAGGTCCACCTAAAAAAGGAGCAACAGATGCTGCACCTGGCGAAGATATGCACTTCCCCCAGGCAGTATAGGCAGTGCTCGTGGTCATCACTGATCAGGAAGGTACAGAGACAGCAGATGCAGCTTTTCAAGCTTGGTATACTGTGCATAATCTAATTCCCATACAGTAACTCCTCACTTAAAGTCGTCCCGGTTAACGTTGTTACGTTGCTGATCAATTAGAGAACGTGCTAATTTAAAGTTGTGCAATGCTCCCTTATAACGTTGTTTGGCAGCCGCCTGCTTTGTCCACTGCTTGCAGAAAGAACAGCCCATTGGAGCAAGCTGGTGGGGGCTTGGAACCAGGGTGGAGCGGCAGCCCCCCTATTAGCTCCCCGCTCCCCTAAGATCCCTGTGCAGCAGCCGCCCAGCAGGCTATCAATTGCCGGCAGTTCAACTGTCCCTCCCCCATTGCCATGTGCTTCTCCTGCCCTCTGCCTTGGAGCTGCTCCCAGGAGCCTCCTGCTTGCTGAGCAGGAAGGGGGGAAAAGGGGTGCTAATGTCAGGGTGTCCCCCTTCCCCTTGCCCCCCGCTTACATTTCCATAGTGCAGGGGGGGGGACGTGGGAGGGAGCTTTCTGGCAGCAGCGGCTGTCTCAACTTGCTGATCTACTTAAAAAGGCAATGTACTTAGAGTGGGGTCAGCATACTTAAAGGGGCAATGCGCATCTCTCTCTCTCTCACACACAGAGTATGTGTCTCTGTCCGCTATGCTATCTCCCCTCCCTCCATTTGTGCTGCCTTGTAGAGTGTGAGGCTACATTAACAAAGTGTTAACCCTTGAGGGCTCAGCTGAGTGCTAGTTCATCATTTAGCAAGTAAGGCATTCCCTGGGAAATATCCCATCCTCTTCCACCCTCTGACTTTACCACCTCAACCAAGCTTCACAATTATCGTTGCCATGTACAGTATTAAATTGTTTAAAACTTATAGAGAGAGAGTGTGTGTGTGTATATAGTCTTTTGTCTGGTGACCCATTTACATTAATTCTTATGGGGAAATTGGATTAGCTTAACATCGTTTTGCTTAAAGTTGCATTTTTCAGGAACATAACTACAACGTTAAGCGAGGAGTTATGAGCCAGAGGGATCCCCAGGGTGGGGATTCTAACTATCCACTAGCTATACTAATAGAACCATTAACACTAATTACACTAAAGATAAAACTGATAAACTTTGAAATATTTACAGGTTTGAAAACAAAAGAGAAGTTCTGTACACTAAAGTTTCCAATTCAGGCCATGCAGCAGTAAGAAGGAACTGAAGAAGTGGTCGGTCCACCCAGCACTACTCCATGGATCCTTGATGCAGAACACAAGCAGAGCAGGGGCACAGATACGGATCAACGGACACTGCTTTCAAAAGTTCTCAAGTCTCAGGTGCATGGAGCACATGTGTACCCATAGTGGAATGCACAGAGGGACCAGTTCTCAAAGGAGGCTAAGTTTACATAAGGCAATATGCTTTAAGCCTTAAAGTTTTTGTTATTTTTAACCTTTTCTCTGTTTGTGCTGCTCCTATGATAAATAAAGCAGACTGTTTTGAACAAGCTGATTTCTGTCACAACTTCTGGAGAAGATTCCATAGCAGGTGTCAAAAACAGATATGGTTGGTCAACATGGGGTACTGTAGACTGGTGATCCAGTCTAAAAGTGAGGTGAATCAGAGTTCTACTCAGAGAGGTGCACATATAAGTCTGCCAGTTGAAAGAAGTACCCAAAAAGAGAGATTACAGATGAAGTTCACCCCAAACCATAACATCTGCCTGAAGAGAATAACTTTGAAGTTTCTCTCCCTCTCTCGTTGAATATTAGCTGTACATTTTTAGAGCTGGAATAGTTATATGCACTGATTTATCAAGACAGTTCTTGTTCACAGTACCCATTGAAGTCACGTGTTCCTTTTTTATTGCTCATGATGTTATTTTGTTTAATGTCAGACCATTCTCTACATGCCTAATAGATGGAATTTTAATTCTTAAAATTATAAATAAAATCAGAAGAGCAAGCCCACATGGATTCACTCCACACAGTTGCTCAAGTGAGCAGGACTTGTAGGAAGAACTTTGCCCATCTAGAAATGCTGATGAACCTCAGACACAAAGGAAGGAGAAGATCAGACAAAGAGAGGGGTGTCTCAGGACTTTTGTTGTCCTCAAAAATCTATAACTCTCAGAGTAAAGTCTCTGTGGCCAAGAAATTCCCTTACCAAGTCTGTGTTCCTTGCTTTCCTACCACATTGTCCCCAAAGGGACAAAATTAGAAGTCCAAAGTGCCCACAGCCTAGATGGAGACTGGAGGGGGTGTTCAGGAGATCTTTGGGGAGCAGTGCCCCATGTCCCAAGGAAGGACATTGGGCAAGAAGTCTGAGCCCAGGAGTGTGCTCTATGGCTAAAAACAGTGACAAGACTCTACCCTGACCTAGTTGGCTTGGAAATGCATAGGATCCAGAGACTGGGTCCACTCACATCTCACTGGTGACCATGCAAAAGAGTACTAGGCCAGGCTGTAACACTTAGCACTGGTCATTTTAAATTCAGCCTCCGTGTCCTTTGGTGCTAAGAGCAGGGAGTTTATTTGGAGTAGGTGTGTAAGCGTGGAGGGAGAAATCACCTTTTATAGAATCACAGGACTGGAAGGGACCTTGCGAGGTCATCTAGTCCAAACTAAGTATTATCTCTAGACCATCCCTGACAGGTGTTTGTCTAACCTGCTCTTAAAAATCTCCAGTGATGGAGATTCCACAACCTCCCTAGGCAATTTATTCCAATGCTTAATCACCCTGACAGTTAGGAAGTTTTTCCTAATGTCCAATCTAAACCTTCCTTGCTGTAATTTAAGCCCATTGCTTCTTGTCCTATCCACAGAGGTTAAGAAAAACAATTTTTCTCCCTCCTCCTTGTAACAACCTTGTACATACTTGAAAACTGTTATGTCCCCCCTCAGTCTTCTCTTTTCCAGACTAAGCAAACCCATTTTTTTCCATCTTCCCTTACCTTCATTTCTTCATTCCCCAACTTATTTCATAACACTCAGGCAGAGTTTAGAGAGTATCATGTGCTAGACCTTGTATGTGAAGTAGAGAATTTTAAATGGAAAGTTATCAAATGTTATTGGTCTGTGCAATTTGCTTGGCCACCGTTACAGATTTCCCAGTTTCACTAGATACAGCAGATTCCCAGCTAGCCTTAGCTCGCTCCAGGGCATGCTTTCTGCACAATGACATCTTTTTATTGGTGGAAGCATAACAGTAAATCTCACTACTCCCTCAGGAAGGCTGAAAGCTCATTAGTTACTCAATGAATAGGGATAGCTACTATTAGGCACTCAAATATTTCTTAAAATGCTGTTTGCCACTTCCTGGCATATTCCACACACCGAGAGAGACCTCATACAGCCCACCCCTTTGCCTAAATTGTAGGAGAACCCACAGGTATGATCTAGAAAGGGAAAATCCAGAAACTCATAATACACACACACTTGCCATTTTAAATCCTACTATTGTAGCAGATTAGCAATTGATGGGGTGGAGAGGACAAACAAAAAACCTACTCACTGTGCACACAGAGGCTTCATCCCCAATTTTCACTCTATTCACAGTCAGTAGCCGCTCCAGCAGGCTGATTCTGTTTAGGAGCCAGGAAAATGCCAGCAGCAACTCTCTGCTACCCTGTGAGCCATCGGAAGGGAGCTGATAGAATTCTGGCCTGCCATAGCCATGGTACCGTAACACTGACTTTACAAACCTAATTTGGGTGCCTGGAAAGTAGAAAAGCAGGAAAATGTGTCACATTGCACTGCCCACCCTTTTCCAGGAATAGCTGCTTCCTGGAGAAAATTAACCAAATTTCGTGTCATACTAAGGGTAAGGGAGACTGATGTTCTCTGGTTAGGCATGAACAGATACAGTACAGGCAGCAAGAATGCAAGCTTCCCCTATGCTGCCCCACCCTGACCCGCAGGAACCACCTCTATAGAGGGGAATAGAAATTCAGACTCCAGACCCATTCAGCCCTTGGCCTCTCAGAGACTAACAAGGCCAATTTGCAACTGGCTTGTGGTGGGTGCCTTTACTACTAGCCACTGGGCTCAGACCCACCCCTGCTTTCATATGGGCCACCAAACACGCTACAAAATGACAACTGTTTTAGGTCACTGTTGAACTGAGGTGGATCAAAACCTAGAAATGAAAGGTTCCACAGCCTACTACAAATCTCTGAGCACCAGTGAGCAAATAAGGCAATAGCATCATAGATACAACAGGCACACCAGGCTGCAGAGACTGCATTTTGTGCTCAGCTATATTCTCTTCCCTGGTGAAGGAAAATAGATTTTATTTGACAATTGCAATGTGACCTGAAGAAGAGGTTTGCTTAGCTTGAAAGCTTGCCTCTTTCACCAATAGAAGTTGGTTCAATGAAAGATATTACCTCATTCACCTTGTCTCTCTCAATTACAGTGCAAATACTATGGATTGTAAAGCAAGTGTCACTTCAGTAGGGGAGAAAGAGAAAAGGTTAAACCAGCGAATAAAGTTTCTTCCCTTCCCAAGTGAAGTTGTTTCAATATCTCCAGGTTGTTTCACCACAAAGCATAAGTAAACCCAAACCCAGGGCCCCACGTAGTCAGTGCTTAACTTCGTGTCCTCTATCACATCTGTATATTCCTCATTTGCCTATTCCTTGTCACTAGCATGATAAACTTCTTGTCTGGTCACATGCACTGTGAGCTTTTTCCCCTGTATCCTGTTGACTAATGAAGCTCAAAATAACAATGCCTGACTTCCAAAGAAAAAGCACAAATGGAAAGAGAAACCTGTGACTCTAGAAAGGTTATTTGTTAATCTTAAAAAATAATTCCTTGAGAAAAAGTGTCTAACCACATCACTTGAGCTGTGAAGTGTTAAGGGAGTTTTGCATGCTAGAGGCAACCATACAAAGCTAAGACACAGCCACTGGAAGTCCTAAGCTTGAACGTACTCATTACACTCGAATAGCATTCGTTACACTTCAACAGCAGCACATCACTTAGCAGTAGTCACTGGCAGGAACTGGTAAATCTACACAGGCAGTAAGCCCATCCCATTTCGGCAATGGGAACATAAGTACACCTCTACCCCGATATAACGCGACCCGATAGAATGCGGTAAAGCAGCGCTTCAGGGGGGCGGGGCTGCGTGCTCCAGCGGATCACAACAAGTTCGATATAACGCAGTTTCACCTATAATGCGGTAAGATTTTTTGGCTCCCGAGGACAGAGTTATATCGGGGTAGAGGTGTAAATACTTTGCTTCGACTGAGTGACCTGCCTCTGGCAAAATGAAGCAGTGTTGTTGGGAGCCACATCCAGCCTTTCCTAGCCACAGAGGGGGTAGGATCCCCGAAGAACCCCTCACTCCACAATGCATCCAGCATGGGTGCGCTCTTGAAGATGCAGCATGTATAACATGTATAACTGTTGTTCCTCAGCACAGGCTAGTAACAGTACCTAAGCACATGGGTGTGCTCCATGTGCAAATGCTGGATGGACATAGGCTCCTCACCATAAATACAGATCAGAAAACAAGACTGTGAGCATGACTGAGCAGGCACCACAACCTAGCCCAACACTGCTGTCTTGTGGCAAGGGCAGAACTCCTGACGGAGCACATCGCAGGGCCTTAATCTGTTTTAAATCTAGCAAATTTCTGTTCTACAGCCACAAAAAGGGGACCACTTGTCCCAGCAGCCCCTGGAATCACTCTCTCTGGATTGTAATAGATACATTATCAGATTGCTGCATTTTTTGGCAGCGTGTGTGAATATGAACTTTAATGGCTTGTCCCATGCTTTGAGGGGGCCTGTCCAGTTCCAGTGTCAGCAATACAGATGTCATCAGGATTCACACACTTCTCAGCCTGACAGGTTTTAGGGTAGCAGCCATGTTAGTCTGTATCCGTAAAAAGAACAGGAGTACTTGTGGCACCTTAGAGACTAATAAATTTGTTAGTCTCTAAGGTGCCATAAGTACTCCTGTTCTTTTCTCAGCCTGAGTTTCAGGAAGATCACGTGTGTATATATTGAACAAAAAGGGAGCCAGCACTGACCTTTGTGGAAGACTATTGCAGAGACGTGTAAGGTGACTGATTTTATCCCCAACTCGCAGAATGAAGCTGCAATTACTGATCATTTCTTGGATGAACCACACCATTGGGCTACAAGGAATAGCTTGCAGCAGCTTGGCAATGCCACACACACTGTCATAGGCTACTCTCAGATCAATAAGTACTACACCAAACTTCTTTCCTTACACAAATGCATCTTCTGTATCTTGAGTCAGACAAAGTACCTAATCTCGAGTGCATCATCCTCTCCTGAACATGAGGCAGCTACAGATCAAATATCTCATTAATCCACATCAGGATTAGCCTCTCCATCAATTTGTAGGTAACACTCAGCAAAGAAATCTGTTAGTAGCTCTTTGGATCTGTCAATGATTTCTCTGGCTTGGGAACAGTTACGACCTTCACGCTGCATTAGGCTTTTGGGATGCTACAATCCTGGGTACAGCGATTCACCAATTGAAGAAGCCAGCTTTTGGTGACTGGTCCAAGGTGAAAGAAACGTGTAGTGGATGTTACCTGGATGAGCCTTGTTAGGCTACAGCTGAAGCCAAGTCAAGCTCTTCATCAATAAAGGAGCCAACAGATGTAGACAAGGGACTTTAGCTGAAATACCATATTGAAGACAATACTCCTGGAACATTTTAGAGCTATGTGGCAGTTGTTTATAACTGCCTAGCCCTGTTGATGAAAAAAATGGGCATCAGCTAACACTGACAGCCCTACCAATACCACATGACTGCTGTCTAGATAGATTGAAAGGGAAGGAGTTTGCCTAACCAGAGAAAGGTTTTAGCTAATTATTCTACCGTTTTCTGTGTTGTCTTCTCATTTTCTTTATACTTTTGTCTCTCACAAAAAATTAATTGCTGTAACTGTGGTAAAGGGTTTTCATAAAGAGAAAATGACACCAAATTGGGGAAAGGTTAGCATTTGCTTCCTATCTCCCTAAAATAGAACAGCACATAATGGTCATTATCTGGAGGTTGGAGACCACCTAAGAATTTACATGCTGGAAAAGGGAGAGAACACAAAGCAGTAAAGCTAGTGGTGGGGACAGCCAGTCCTCCATTTTCCTCTATCAGGCTAGAATAAGTAAAGACAGCTTCTCCAATGTAAGAGATCCAGTGACAGGGTGGATTTGATTTAAATCACTAGTCAGGAAGACTCAATTTAATCATGGATTTCTACATAAAAGTGCATTCTTGTTGGTTGTTATAACCTTAATACATATTCTTCACAACTCAGACAGATGTAGGTTTCATTTTTAGAAAGCACACACTATACATATTTAAAGTGATTTATTTTGAAAACTTTTCAGATTAGTTTTACAGCTATATCAGAAAATGAATGATTGTTTGGTTATTTCATTTACCAAAGGTAATTGAAGCAGATATTTATGAAGTCATTGGGAGATGAACTATCTCCAATTCAACAGGTTAATCATTAACATTTGGAGGATTTTCTTGCCATGCTGTCACCCGACAGACATTTAAATTGTTTTATTTAACTAAAACAACAATGTTATGTATTCTGGATTTTTTCTTCAACGGCAAACATATAATATTTTAACAAAACAAGTATATGAATTTTTGAATTTAGTTAAACATTCAAGTTTTTTTTAAATCAGGTTTGTTTTGTTAAAATTGTTTTTAAGTAAAATAGTTAAGTGAAATATTTAAAAAAAAATTAAATAGACTATGTCAGCTAGGTCAACATGAGAAACTTAAAATATTGGCTTCAGCAGCTAACTCGGTCGTCTTCACAGTCATTTTCCTGTTTGTTCATAATCTGGAAAAGAAAAACAAGCTTTCCTGCTTTTTCAGGAAAATGAATGAATTAGTCCAAAGGAAGAAAATATTCTTTCTACACCGGCAGAAGAAGCTACTGCTGTTAAAAGTGAGATTATCACTTCAACAGTCTCTGAATCCAAGTGCTTAAGTGACTTCCACTACTTCACTGGTGTGACTTAAAACATCATCAGCAAACATATATTTCTTGAATGGTTAACCCTTAGCTCTGAAGTTTATTATAGTTGGCATTATAGAAGAATGATTGCTGGATGTCCATGTCATAGTCAACTCTTCTTCAGCAATTAAGGTTTGATCCTGGTACCGAGTATTGAGAATATTTGCAAGAAAATGAGCTGGAGATAGTGCTTGTCCCATTTGTTTTTTTAATGCTTGTAATTTAACTCTGTCATTGCATATTTCTCTTTTTAAGATCTCACTCAGTTCCTTTCAAATTTCAACAGTTCCTTTCAAATTTCAACAGCGTCAGCAATAAAACAGCTATTTCCCTGAATTTTGTTCAAGGCTACAGGGTACTCAGCATGTGTTCAACATTTGTCTTAAGCCCAATGTTGAGAACTTTGGCTGTGACCGTGTCATCTATTTTTTCACGATTTTGTTCAGACTGTCATCAAATTAGGCCAGTTCTTGATATAGTGCTCAAAACAGTCCACTACTGAGTTCCATCACACATCTTGTGGGAGAATTAGCTTGGTACCTCCAACTTTTTACAGAGCAGCTGCTGCATAGTGGTTGT